ATTGCTGTATGGATTGTTGTAAGAGCTGTAAGAGCCCTCAATAAAGTGATTTATTTAAGAAAGAAAAGTTGAGAACCTAAAACTTTCTTAGCTTTTATTATAGATGGTAGTTCTGCTCTGTAACTAAAGCTTTCTGTTTTTTCTTTTTTCCCCAAGTGTTCCTGCGTTGAGGGAGGACTTCAGTAGAGACCCAATGCCCATCTGCTACCTCAATACTTAACATTTAAATATATGTACATAGACCTATATCCCTGTTGTTATATATTAATATATGTACATATGTGCATGCCTATATTTATACTTCTATAATTGTCTTTTGCCTCCTAGTTTTCTTCCTCTATTTTTTTTTTTTTACTTTCTTCCTGTCCCACTATTATGTTCGATCTTTCAGCTCTCAGTACTTTTTCTCAGCTACACTGTAGTTGATCAAACCCCACCAGGTAGGTTTCTAACTTTTAAAACATCTGCCAAGGCCTATCTTTGAGACTTTGAAATGGTAAATATTATGTTGGAAAAAAACGCAATTCCATACTGTGTGGCGACCTCAACCACCTAAAACTCTCTGCTGAGTTGTGTATTTATTACAGACAGGACTGAGAAAGACCTGTGACACTGTGTCAAATCATCAAACTGATTCCGGGTGCCTTTATGGATCCCCCTGGTGGCACAGAGGGCTAAGCTTTAGGCTGCAAACTACAAGGTCAGCCATTTGAAACCTCCAGCCACTCTGCAGGAGAAGTAAAGATTGATAGTGCTGGAAACCCACGGGCAGTCCTACTGTCCTTTAGAGTTGCTATGAGTGAGAACTGACTCAATGGCAGTGAGTTTGGACTTTGGGGGGGGTGGGGGAGTTCTCCTCTTTTTGATCTTTGTTTCTCAGTTTTCTGTGAATGTACATACTTTTAATTTTAGAAAAGGCGAAAATGTCATTTTAAAACTTGCATGGAGTCCCCAGTGCTTATAGAAAATTGGCTTGTTCATACCTCAAAAATAAATAAATAAGTTGTATTACAACTCTTAATTTTTTTTAACTTTTCACCTTGAAAGCTTATTACACTAAATCCAGGATTACATTCTATTTTGTCAGCAATATTTTAAGAGCTGGTTTTTAAAAGTAAAGTAATTATATTTAGTATTACAACAATGTTCTATACTGTCTTGATATAAAAGTTATTATATGCAATGATGTAGCAACATTAAATAAAGAATTTTTCTTCCATTTTTAGAAACTAACCATTATATCCAATAATAGAACAAGGAACTAATCCTCATCACTGAAAAATAATTTTTTTAATCACACAAATAAAATTCTCAATCCTGTCCATATTTACCACCAAAAACAAAACAAAAAAGCAGACAAAATTAGAATGGGTAAATATATTTAAACTGAATATAAGACCATTTTAAATTAAGAGTTAGACCGTAAAATAATTTCTTAAAGCAAGTTATTGAATCTTCTCCTTTTAAAATATATTATTCTCTTAGGGAAAAAAAATGAGATCAATCAGGTGTGGTCTAGACCCGGAGAGTCTTGGCTCTGCTAGTGACTAGTCATGTAACCTTGGGCAAACTGACCTCTGAATGTGTCGCTTCAGCAAGGGGGGGAAAAAGAACTATCATCAAGTACTATGATACAGATCAAATTACACAACAACATAAAGTGCTGAGCATAAGTGTTAGGGGCTCAATAATATTAGCACGTCTGTTTCCTATCTTTTATTCCTCTACAACACTACTATATTTTTAAAATGAAATTCTCTAGTAATCTAATATTAAATATAAGTCTCTTTGGAGGTGAGCACATGCAAATAAATATATTTACAGAAAAGTTCACTTTTGAAGGAGCAGAATGTATTAACACTTAAATGACTTAAATGCCATTTAAGAAACCATGTATCAAGATATATATTACTACCTGATTATTCTAAGAAAGAATATTTCTTTTTCTTTTCTTCCTTTTTTTTTTGGGGGGGGTTTAGTAATTTAAAATGTGCTCGAGTCTGAGAAGCAAACTTAAAAGCAACTTACATTACAATGATCAAAGACAACCATGCACTGAGGTTCCTTGCTGACTGGCGAGGAGGAAGTATCTACTTCAGGTGCAACAATGACTGGTTCCTGTTGGTCCCAGAAGTTGTATTTACAAAATACAAAGTGGCACAGATGCTGTGGCAATCCAGTAGCTTGTAATATTTTAACCTGAGGGGAAAAGAAGGATTCGTTGTTACTTCTTAATTAGAAAGTTCCAAAAAGTACTATAACTCAAGAGGTATGGATTCCACTCCTAATTATGTCACGCAGTGTGCATTTAAGATGAGCAAACCACATACACTCCGGGGCTGTGTTCTTCAATTGTTAGGTGGGAACAAAAACCTACCATATTTATTAAGAGGCTTTCATAGGGGGACAAACTCCTTTGCCTAGAAGATGGGTATTTGAAAGCATGTAGAGGCTGATGAAGAACATTTATAGTTTCTTATAACAATAATAAAGACAGAAGAATAAAGTTCTTAGGCATCAATACAATTTAATGATACAAGTATGACTAACATCAAAAGAATAGACCAAGATGTTCAAGTACAACGAGTAAAGAATAAAAGTCATGCATGCATGGATTTATAAGCAAACAAATATTCAGGAAAGAAAAAAACATTATTCAATAATTTTAAATAGAAAGGTGAGCAAGTTTCTCAAGTAGATATGTTAGATTTGGGGCGAGCAATGTAAAGGCATTGAGAACATACAGTTGACAGGGCCACTGAGGGTCAGCATTGACGTGATGGCAGTGAGCACTAACACTTACTGGGTGTGTTCACTGTACACACCTAGGAGAGGAAATGTGCTCTGGATATGGAGTGTAGGGTTTTATGATAACAAAGTGTGATTAGAAAGCATATGTATTTGATGTGATAAGAAGGAAAAAATGCCTGTAGCGGGTGTTAAGGTAGCCATATATAGTTATTACTTCTTTGGGCAGGAAACATCAGGTTGATATTTGCATTGGAGTTTCTGCTGCTGTCATATTCTAAAACTTCTTCATTTATGAAGTTAAATGTAATTGTGATCTTATAATTGATTAAGCAGGCTTACATGCTCAAGCATTATTTATTTATTAACATTCCTTAGTAAACCACTTCCCTGCATTGTATGTGATTCAGTGAAAACATTTCATAAAAATACACTTGAAGATATAGCAGAAGTTAATGTAGTTCAGCAACCACAAGGAAATATCAGAAGCCTTGATACTAAGATAGGTTTACAAATCTTTATTCATATAATAGGAGGATCCCTGGTGGTGTAGTGGTTATGCACTGGGCTGATAACTGCAAGGTCAGCAGTTCAAATCCATCAGCTGGTCCACAGGAGAAAAATTAGGCTTTCTATTTCTATAAAGAGGTATAGTCTCAGAAACTCACAGGGGCAGATCTACCCTGTCCTAAAGGATCACTATGAGTCAACATCGACTTCATGGCAGTGAGTAGACATTTCAGGAAGTATTAATAATGAGAAAGTAGATGAGTTTATTTTCTCCCATATGAGGTGGAAAAATATACGCAATAAATGAGAATTCCTATCATCATTCATTTTTTCCCTCAATGTTAACAAGTGTTTGAAACATCTATATACTAATTCCCAGATGACTTAGAAAGACAGGCTGAATGATACAATGTATTCTTCCAAACCAAACAGAGCAATCAGTATCTGAAGTTAATTATTAAATTTAGAAAACTATTATTTTTATTAAGTGTTTTTAAATGTTTATTATATTCTTTAATGTGAGGTAATATAATATGTGAGAAGATTCCAAGATTTTGGAGTTACACAGATCTAAATGAAAACACGTCATTTATTAGCTTCTATTAAAAAAACAGGTAATTAACTTCTGTGAGGTTCATTTGCACAGTTCTGGCAGGGCTTTACACTAAGGCTAGGAAGAAAGGCATGGAGATCTACTTTTGAAAATCAGCTCATGAAAACCTCATGATACATAACAGACTGATCCATAACCACTAAAGGAAATAGTACACGACTGGGTGCATTTCATTCCAGTGTGCTCGGGGTCATCAAAAGTCAGGGACCAAGTTGACATCAGTAATAACAAGTTTTCTCCTTTAATAGCTACTGGTGTGAGAACTGACCACACTAATGAAATGAAATTAATAAAAGTGGTACCAGGCATTGAGCAGATATTTAACTAACATATACCAAATTTTTCCTGTAGCAATTAATCTCAATCTTGTAGTTAAAACAAACAAGAAGGCAAGATTTACTATGATTAACTCTCCAAAACATGTAACATCTCAGGAATGAGGAAACACCTAGGACATAAATTATGAGGGTTTTTAAGGCTTTTTGCATACAAAAACTAAAATCACCACAAGGTGTCAGACTACCATAGGAAATCAACTTGAAGCTGCTCAAGACAAGGGAGCCCAGAAATATCAGTACACATTCATGTTGTATGGGGTTTGCAAATGTACAGATCATACTTAATGTAAGTTAAAATACTCAATTGCAAATATATGCCTTCTTCATTACAGAAAAATACATCTAAACTTCTTTTATGGGCCCACGATCCTCATCATCCATGATACTTTAAATGCCCCCAGATTCGATACTTTTTCCATCTCTACGTTGCTTAATGTAAAAAGAGTTTATGTATGCTCCTTTAGTTTACCCAAAAAGGTACCCTATGCATACTCTCAAGATACAATTTCCCATGAAAGGAATTAGGGTTCATTCAAGAAATGGCTCATTTCAGGACTGGGACAAGAAATGTACATGATGAGATTAGAATCATATTTTGAAACAAAATCAAACAAAAAACACCCAGGTTCAATGACATTCAGTCAATCCTGACTCACAGGACTCCTGTAAGGGATGGTAGTATAGGGAGCTTCCAAGGCTCCAGATAACCTTTACAGAAACCAAATGTCACATCTTTGTCTCTTGGAGTGGCTGGTGGGTTTGAACCACTAACCTTTTTTCAGTTAGTAGATGTAATAATCACTGTGTCACAACGGATCCTCAGAATCATATTAGAAAATTGAAAAACTGCCAAAGTCTGTGAGTGTTAGAACTATGGAGGCTCTCAGTGATCAAATATAGTCTGATTTGAGCTTTAACATATACAATAAATGCAATGTAAGTTTACAATATGTTCAGTTTGATATTAAGACAAAACATATAAACACCTCACTGGTCACTTTTCGATATCAGTAAGAAAATAAATTATTTATTTTGAATATTGTCACACCTGTTAGGCAACACTAACACAACCCACAATACATGAATTCCATAGGGTAATAGGACCCTTCCTACATAAAATAACCTGAATAGAACATATATCCACAAGTGAGAAAATGCCTATAGATTGAAAGGGAGTTCTGAAACATATCAACCTAGAACAGTGGTCCTCACCCTTCCTAATGCCGCAACCCTTTATTACAGTTCCTCATGTTGTAGTGAACCCCCCCAACCATAAACTTATTTTCACTGCTACTTCATAACTATCATTTTGCTACTGTTATGAATTAGGCGACCTCTATGAAAGGGTCATTCGACCCCCAAAGGGGTCACGACCTACAGCTTGAGAACCGCTGACCTGGAGAATAATGGGAAGTAGACTGCTATACTGTAGTCCATAACAATTGAGGAATTAAAAATAATAGTAATTAAGGAATTGTTCCATGTGATAACATTATAGCTACTTTAAAAAAAGAACTCATTTCAAAATATTGGCTGACAAGATATAATGATGTAAAGTGGCATCTGGGGTTTGTTTCAAAGTAATCTAGGGGATGAGGTGGCACAGAAATGGCTTGGATGTCTGAATAGAACACAACTGACAACCAGCAGATAACCACAGAGACTGGTGAATGGGGAGCGATAACATTATTCTCACTACTTTTACATGTATATTTGATATCTTCCCCCCAAATAATTTTTAAGATATTCTGACTTGGTTAAAAAAAGCCTCAGACCAGAGGATGTACACTGGTACAGATAGGAACTGGAAACAGGGAATATCGGACAGATGATCCCTTCAGGACCAGTGGTGAGAGTAGTGATACCGGGAGGGTAGAAGGAGGGTGGGGTGGAAAGGGGGAACCGATTACAAGGATCTACATATAACCTCCTCCCTGGGGGACAGACAACAGAAAAGTGGGTGAAGGGAGACGTCAGACAGTGTAAGATATGACAAAATAATAATTTATAAATTATCAAGGGTTCATGAGAAAGGGGGGCGCGGGGAAGGAGGAGGAAAAATGAGGAGTTGATGCCAGGGGCTTAAGTGGAGAGCAAATGTTTTGAGAATGATGAGGGCAATGAATGTACAAATGTGCTTTAGACAATTGATGTATGTATGGATTGTGATCAGAGTTGTATGAGTCCCTAATAAAATGATTTAAATATATATATAAAACAAACAAATAAACAAACAAACAAAAAAGCCCCATTTTCCCAGGAATATATACTTCTTTTCAGTGAAGATAAACTTTCCACATAATGGCCTTTCTGCTTTTTTAATGATAAAATGGACCATTATGGAGTTACCAAACCTGTGTCTCCATCTCGTTAACATAAACCTCAAAATAAGAGTCTTAAATCAAGTATAATACATTACAGAGTAACCTTTACTGAATTTAGATTTTTTTTCTCTCAAACTAGAGTCAATGACCTTAGCATCTAAGGCCTTCTTACTATCCAATCAACAGACCCACTGCCATTAACTCAACTCCAACTCACAGTGACCCTACAGAATAGTGTAGAACTGCCCCTGTGGATTTCTGAGACTAACTCTTTAAAAAAAATTCATTTTATTGGGGGATCATACAGCTCTTATCACAATACATACATACATCCTTTGTGTCAAGCACAAGCCTGGAACTCTTTACAGGAGTAGAAAGCCTCATTTTGCTCCCGTGGAGAAGCTGGTGATTTCAAACTGTGGTTAGCAGGCCAACACCTAACAACTATGCTACCAGGGTTCTAGTTACTCTATGCAAAGGCCTATACAAAGTCCAAAATGGAATATTTTCAGCTTTCCTGTACCCCGCAATTAATGTATAAGCTACTCCTTTCAACATCATGTTTGATTCCAGAGATATTTACTGAGAAACAGTACTGGCCTTAGGTTAAATTACGAAATAAAAGTTTACACTTCTTCCTCTTCACCTTTTAGTGGCCTTCTCAATTGTACTATTGTCCCTATGCCTCTTGCTGACTCCTCTTCCTTACATGTCTTTCCTTTAGCTGGTTCCTACAAAAATTCTTAAACAGAAGCCATACTGTTCCAATAATGGGTATTCAGAAATGTATTAAGAATACTTCCTTCATTGACATAATAAACTGAGACTGAGGATGGGGCACTACCTACACTTGAGAGTTCAGGCATGGAGTAGCCTTTCTAAGACTCCCCAGCTGAGCAACTTACCCATGCAATACCAATAGCACCCTATGGAGAAAAAGCTTTATTAGATAACAGCCTCTCCTTCAAGTTCAACCCAAGTCTTCTTTTCCCAATATTTTCCCTAGACTGTGCTTTCTGAGTTAGTTATTTTTCCTCCATGTTCCATAGGATTGGGCTACCTCCATCAGAACACTTGGCTCACATAATATTGGAGTCTTTTGTTTGGTTGCATGCCCTTCCGCTCACCCCCATGTGCTATAGAGAGAGCACCTTGAAAGCAAGAACCCAGTTTTATTCATCTCCATATTTCCAGCATCTGAAACATGTTTGACAGATAATACTCAACGCATATTTCAAGAATGAAATGCATGGAAAGACAAGGAAGAAAACAATTTGGGATTGGGACATGTTTAAATAGCACATGGGTAAAGAAAAATGCAACATTTGGAGGCAGTGTGAAGAAAGACATATGACTAAGAACAGGACCAGGGCTGGGTAAATCTCAATCATCAGCAGCTAGGAAGACACCCAATTACAGGATAAAACTTACGGGGAAAAACTTAGCAGTCTCTATAGAGAAGCCCCGATAAATATAAATTCACTCAATTTTGGAGCTCAATGGTCTAAAGAAAAGAGGTGCCTTGCAACAAGAGCAAAGAGTAAGTTCTTAGTAAGTAGTAACCTGACTGCATCATAGTTCAGGACATACAGTGAAATGTGATCTCTAAAAGGCTAAATATTCTTTTTTAGAGACAGATACTTTGAAAATATGAAAGAAAAAGAAAATAATATATTTACAAGTCTCAAATATAATTCTAAAATCTAAATATAATCCTCAAAATCAGTTATACTTCTGTACTTCTAAAATGAAACTGGGACTCACCATGCACACAAGCTTGTTCTCCTGGGTTTCTTTATCAAAGGAGATGTCTCCAGTCTCCTCACCTCCTGCAATTCTTTCTCCAATTTCACCACTGATCCGCATCACTTCTACATGCAGCCGACCTGCCACCTTTAAAAATGGGTTCAGAAACTTTTAAACAAAGTTTTGTTGTCTGTTCCTTGAAATCTACCTTCTGTTTTAGACTCAAATCATTACGTTAATGGTATGAGAATTCAGACATCTAGGTTCTAACATTTTTTTTCTCTCATAGTTCATGGCATAACCACCACAAAACACTAAAGAAACACAAGGTATTAATAACACACACATATATGTCACTGCTAATAAAAATAGTTAGCAATTATAGTATCATCACCACCCTACTGTTTCTTAATCTCTTCTCTACAAAAAACAAGGGCTGAAGAGTAAACCAACCTCTCCCTTCTGGTTGACGATTGGAACAGCATACTGTAACTTCACATCATAGAAAAGGGACTCAAGGAAGACATTGGCCACCCCAATGAGACAGTGATTTTCCTGTTCATCATAGAATGGGTCAGCACGCTTGAAGTATGACCGTATGACCTTCAAAGAAATTCAAAACAACTTTAGAAAATTACTTAAAAATGAATGGATCCAACCTAACACTTTTTGGAAGGTTCTATATTACATTATTACACTTAACTTTCTATTCGATAGCCGGTCCTTATATTCTTTAGAGTAAAACAAAGTACTTGTGGAAGTATAGCATATTTGATCCACACACACTTTCTTATTCATATTTAGAATGTTGGCAGCATCCTTCAGCCATAATAGAGCAAACAAAATAATGTCATTTATATTTAGCATGTATTCTGCTTATGTACCAATTTCACCGAAAGCAAACAAATGAGAAACAACATATATTGACTAGACAAGAAGAGGAGTGCACTAAAGTACGTTTTTCTTTGAGGAAAGAGAGTCATTATATTTATTCCATCTTACCAAATCATAAGACACATTGCTAATGAGAGGAAACCTCTTTGTAAGAAAGTGGCTGACTTTTTGTACATTTAGTCTTGTTTTATTTCTAAATTAAAATAGGAAAGGGATACAGAAGAGAATGTAGAAAACGCATTAGCAAAACATGTTATCCAACTATAAGAAGTCATTGTTGTTAAGGACAGTCTGGGAAAATGAGCATTTTTCAAAATAAGAGGCAAAGGAAATAAGCAACTTTATAAGACAACAGGACTAGCAGTATTGAAGATATATAAAATTAGACATAATATATACACCTATTTTAAATGTGTATAATGGCATGTTTCACCTAAACAGAGAAATCTTCTTGATGAGCAACGCCAAAGTACAGTTCTACAGAGTCCACTTTAGGATCAAAACTACCAAAAGTGTTCCTGATATACATGTCAAGATGCCACATACTTCTAATTAAAAAAACAAAACATTTGCAAAGTTATATTTTGTGTTGAGAAGTAGAAAAGGATATAATGTAAAAGGATATAATGTCCTAAAGAAATTAACAGTCCACAACAGAAAAGTGGGTGAAGGGAAATGTCAGACAGTATAAGACATGACAAAATAATAATAATTTAGAAATTATCAAGGGCTCATGAGGGAGGGGGTGTGGGGAAGGACGGGGAAAATGAGGAGCTGATACCAAGGGCTCAAGTAGAAAGCAAATGTTTTGAGAATGATGAGGGCAATACATATA